TGGTATTAACGATAACTCGCTATAACGATGAAAATGTGACCTAACGGGAGTATCGTTATATCCAGTCTTGACTGTACTACATTCTGCTGTTAGTACTACTGTTATTCTTGGTACCACTGTTACATTTCTGTCGCCGATCCTTGGATCCGAGTGGTTTCACAGAAATTTAGGAGGAATACGTCATCGTCTGCGCTTGCGTCATCACATCAGTATCAAGTGCTTGTTTTAAAGTCATCACATTGAAAGCAGGGTCAGCTGAGTGTGAATTTTCTCATTTTTTCCACTAACTTAAAATGCTTTTTAAAAAAAATTTTTTCTATAGCTCTTTTAGATTTAACATTAATAAGGTTAAAAATCTCTTTTATATTTAAACCTGCCACGCCGGAAAAAGAAACGTGTTTTTTTTATTTATTTAACTTTTTTTTTATTTAGTTTATTTTATTTTACTTTATTATTTTTTTGGAACACATAATTTTTACGGCAAGCTGATCGGCTGCTGCTCGATTACATGAAAAACCGCGCCTCAAGACACTAATAGCATCAACAAGCTGGTCAGAATAAGGCGCGCCCGTATAACACCTTTTTTTCGGACTAACTTATTTTTAACATACATGTTTGATCGAATATCTGTGTTACATAAACTATTTAACGTCATCGATCGTATTATATTTATATTACTAATCTTTTACAGTAAACCTCCTCGCTCTGGAATGCCTTTACTACAAGGGCATTTGGACATAATTTTGCCCTCTCTCATTCTGAAGTTATAATAATATATTTTAACCGCTTACTATCATGATGTTTATTAGATTTGCAACTGGATCCGGATCTCTATGCAAAAAATTTATTCAATTATTAAAACCGCATCAGATAGATACGAGTTGTTAATTGACAACACGCCAATCAACCATTTCGAACTTGACAAGAAGGGAAGGCTCATCCCAGTGCCACAAACACCCATCTTCAAGGCAGCTACTGTCGGAGAGATCTTTTATCAAGTCTCCAATTGGAATATCTACACTAGGCAGAACGGTGTTGTTACTTGTTCACAGGAGGGTTTTAACCTCTCTACGCCTGGAGGAAGAACGATCAGGGCCCCTGACGTTGCCTTCACCCCAAGCGAAACATATCGTAATTTGACTCATCAACAACTCCTGACCTTTCAAGGCCAAGCTTTTCATCCAACCTTTGTCGTAGAGGTCGAGGATGTTTCCGCTGATTCGAAATTAGACGCGCTCAAGGAGAAATTCAAATCCGATTATTTTCCTGCGGGTGTCAAACTAGGTTGGTTGGTGGATCCAGTAAATAAGAACATCTACGTATTCAAGAGAAATACAAATGGAATCGTGCGCTGCCTGAGTAAGGGATGGAGGGATGTTATCGGTGAGGACGTATTGCCAGGTTTCGTGTTAAAGGTCTGGAATATTGACAAAGCCACCTCACAAGTATGTTATGTTCTGTCTCGTTGTTTCTATAAATACAAACTCTCTAACTTAATTGTGTGAATCCGCCCACAGCTATCATCAGAATCTTCTTCGGATGGTGAGATGCAAGTCGACTGCCCCGAATGCGATTTGACTTTCGATAGCCGTTATTCTTTTATGAAGCATTATGGAAAAGAGCATGCGCGCAAAAAGCGCAAGCGTCATTAATAATAAGGTAAGACTTGATATGTCTGCCATGTTCAATTTTAAATTCTGCTGTATGCGCAATGACATTGACTATTACTATCAGGATTAAAATTTAGAATGGTTACACAATATCTCTAATGCCGTTCAAAATGTACCCATACTTGGTAAGAGACCTGAAAGAGTTGGTAGATGGTGGATAATAATTAATTCCAAGAGTATATGAACGATAAACTCATGTCGCATGGATAATATTGTAGACTTGAAGAGTCATCTCTATTATTTATTTTCTCATGACAAGCACACGCTTCGAGAGTTTTCTGTATAGCGTAGTGCCTCCAATTTTTCTTTCCTAAAACTTATGCTAAGTTACTGTAGTTATTCTTGCTGAATCCGAAAAATACAAATAAAAAAAATTATTGTTGCTAATATCGTTACCAACTTTATTCCGGTTAAATAGTGTTGTAAAGTCCCCTTGACGAGGCTTTGGAATCTTTTACTAAACCACTTTCTTTTTATCACACTGTTCTCGTTCGTTCGCAATAAACAAGAGTGAATCTAGACTAGACGTGGACAATTTCCAGGCCGTTGCTCAATTAGTTGCAAAGAAATTCGCAATGTCATGGATGCAGCTCTTCGAAAGAATATTAAAGACTTATTCGGGAAGATGGAGGCGTAAATGATCAAGATGGCATTTGAAAAGTTATAAGTGAAAAAGGATAGGCGAAGGGAATAAGAGATTGTGATGTTTAATTGCTTACCCAGTCACGTATAGAAAAATAAAGACAGATTAATCTGCGGATTTTCGATTAGGCTTGAACTTTAGTAGACGCTTCGAAAAATTTAAAGCCGGTCCCATTATACGTTCTGCCGTGAATGGAGTCAGGTATACACACATTGCAATTCTCAGCGGCATCAGTATCTGGAAGGAAAGTAATGTTAGCAGCCTTTTTACCGAAATATTTGCCCATGATCTTTCAATGTACCTTGACAATTCCATAGCTGCTGGCGGCCAGGAAAGCAACTCTGCTACCCTGTTCAACTTCTTTGAATCCAAAATACCTTAACATAGCATTTATCCTCTTGTTCCCTTCTTGTAACATGTTTTCTGGTAAAGGCACTTGTATTCCTGTATAATCCAGAGCGAGGTAGACTAGCGGAATGGGAACGATAGCCGTTATTTCATGAAGGAGAAGAAAGGAAATGACATAAGACGAAGGCTTGGAACGAAATTGATCATAGTATTTTGAAAATAAAGAAGGCTTTTTGGTTGAAGTAGAGTAAAAATGAAAGACAGAACGAGAACGGATAGGCGCAAGAGAAAACGTTTGCGAACAACGAAAGCGAGAAGAGAAGGTCGACAAGTGAATTGAGGAAAAAGAAGTTGATTGAAATTTGGTTATACGGAGCATTTGAAAAGGTAACAAGTGATTTACCGTTACGGTTACTTTTACTTTCGCAGAAAGATCCACTTGCATCTTACCATATGGGGTAATAGTAGAAAACGGTTGTAGTAGAATAATAATCGAACTTTGCAAATTGGGTTGCGGCGAACTTTTTTTTTTTTACCATGGCGAACAGGACAGTTTCAGACGCGATCGCAGTACACGGAACGAACCCACAGTATCTAATTGAAAAGATTATAAGAACTCGCATATACGAATCACTTTACTGGAAGGAATCTTGTTTCGGTTTGACCGGTATATGTTATTCCGGTTTACCGTGTCCAGCGATTACTGTTTGCCCAAGCTCTCATTATACAAACTGCTCCCCCTCTTAAACAATCTTAAACTCACACGGTTAGTCTTGTCTTTTAAACAAATGCAGCCGAAACTTTAATCGATCGTGCGATCGAGCTGACGTCCATCGGTGGACAGTACGGTAACCAGAAACCGACGGAATTTCTCGCTCTGGTTTTGAAATTACTTCAACTGCAACCGGCAAAGGAGATTATTATAGAGTTTATTCGACAAGAAGACTACAAGTAAGAGACCTGGGACAAAGGTGGTGTGATTCAAGTCTGGAGGTGATTTGATTGAACCGACGTTTGTTTTCTTTAGGTATTTACGAGCGCTGGGTGTGTTTTACTTGAGACTAGTCGGGACCAGTTTGGAAATTTATCAGTATCTGGAGCCATTATTAAATGACTACAGGAAAATGCGCTTGCGTTTACCAAGTATGCTCGGACGTTCCTAAAACGGTTTATTATTTATATCTTTTACGTTCTGGTAGTGACATTGATTTTATTC